ATACTTAACTTCTGTATGGAATTGATTGAAAAAAACCTAATGGATAAGATAGCAGACTTGAAGTGTATGGAAAGAGAATTGGTAAAGAAGCAAGAAAGTAGATAATGAAAATACAGAAGAAACATGTAACCATTTCAAAAAGAAAATTTGGAATTTCAAATGCAAAAAGATAATAGAGTGGAAACGAATATTGAGAATCAATAGAGGTGACAAGATCAAAAGGCTGACACATCTACAGAGGCAAAGAAACAAGACCAAGGTACCAGGAAAGTAGTCATATCAAATATTATTAAAGAAAGAAGAATTAGAAAATACAATACTCAAATAGATCCTGTGAAATGAAGTAAAGTATGGAATGAAATAGTTGGATTTTAATCTCTATCAGAACTCAAAAAAATAATTTACAATAATAATCTGTAGGCAATGATATTAGAAGTTGAAAATGTATTTGCCTGAACTCTTAACGAAGCAATAAATTATTTCCAAAGTTGCACTTAGAAAAGTAAAACAATCAAAATGAGTGAGTTATTTAAAGAATTAACTTTAATGTTTCATGTTATATGTACAGCTTACAAATATTTAATAAAACATACGTAACTAGCTTGATAAAGGGCAAAAAAAAAGGCAAAATAATCTGCAGGCAATAAAATTAGCAATTAAAAAGATTTTTATTTGAATTATTAACAGAGTAATAAATCATTTCTAAAGTTACATTTAGAGTTTTAAAAAAATTTAAAATAGAAATAAATGAGTTATATAAAAAATTAACTTTAGTGAAACTTTTCAAAATGTAAAATATATAGATATTTTATAAAATACATATATCTGATTTGACTAAGAATTTAAAAAAAAAATTAGTAAAAATTGATAAGTAATATAAGACTTTTGTAAGTTACTATAATTTTTAAGTAAGTTCAATACTATTATAAAATAATATTACTTTATTTAAAATAATATAAAAAAACTATATTAGTTTTATAATAAATATTCAATTATTTAAATTTATATTTTGTTTACTAATAAAAAAATCTAAAGTTCATAAAATATTTTAACTAATTTTAAAACTAAAACCATTTTAGTATATAATAAATTTTTATAAACTTTAATAAATAAATAATATATTTATAATTATTAAAATAAAAAAAATAATATATTTATAATTATTAAAATAAAAAAAAATTAATAAAGTTTAATATATGATTTGTGAAACTATAGCATAATAATAATACTTCAAGTTGTATTCACAAGATTTAAAGTTTAATATTATATAAAGATTATATAAAAAAATAATCAAATTATATAATAATAGAATTTCTGATTTTTTTATTGATTATTAGATTAAAACTAATTTATTACAAGAATTGCACAAAGAAAAATTTTTGATCTGATTATATGAATTACAACCAACCTTTTTCCTAATTAAATAGGAAACAAACTTTAAAATCTTGTTTTTAAAACTGCAATAATTATCTAAGTATATCTTAATTCAAATTGTATATATAAATTCTGAAACCTAATTATTTTAACTTGAAATCTTTTAATTCTATACATACTTAATTGAAGAACTTGTTAAACAAAACTTATCTTTTTTTTAATTGCCAGTTCAACTATGTTTATTAGTGATAATAGAATAAAATTCAAAATACATTGAAATTATTACAACTATTAAAAAGGGCTATTAAACTTCCTAAAACCTGATGGTTTACCGAAATGCATGTTACTGCTCCAAACCTGGGGAGACTAATCTAAAATTACTCTTAAACTAGTGCAAGAACAAAAAGAAAAAACACCAGGGCACTGCCGGACAAGGACCTAAATTTTCTCTACTACCGACCATCCACTGAGGCTAATACCAAGGAGAAGTCAACACTTATGGATTATTCACTAGAGTACTGTGTTTCTTAATCTTTGAAAGGGAGAGAGGAGGACTTCTTCTACATCTTCTTCTTCTTTCAGATGGGAGGGGAATAGTTTCAGAGGCCAGCTTTGTTGATACTATCTCATCTGGGAGTCAGTCTAGGGGACTACTCATTCAAAGATCAGGTGGGACCTATAGTCAGGAGGGTGCCTTAAAACCTATGAGAGAGTTGACGATCTAATTCTAAAGATAATACCAGCTTCAAGCATAAGCTGCTTATTTAAAAAGGTATAACTCTTCCAAAGTCAGGCTAAGTTTTTAGGGAATCTTCCAATCTGACAATAGTTTCCAACAAGTACTTTCACTAGGAATAAGATTGATGGGTATCATTGGCAGCCGAAGTAACCATACTTGAGGGGGAGTCATGTTGAAAGTCTTGATATTGGTCCTTAGTTTCTGGTCCTCCTACAAACCATGAATCAGGAATAAAAAACTTGCTGGTTGGGAAAAATCTCCTGTTTACCTTGTTTGTTTTTATAAAAATTAAACAGATCTTTACCTATCTATAAGAGCTACTAGAACCTACTTGACTATCAAGAATAGGTAACTTCAATAATAAAAACGATTGAAGTATCTTGTAACCTTTGCCATGGTCGTATGGATTCTTTCTTTTTTTCGATTTTATAGGAGGATGCAGTTTTAACAGATAGGCCTAAGTATATACAGTCCTTAGAGTACTTATACTGGATTAAGTTGATGACTGCAGTGAGAGCAACACCTATCAGCAAGGGTAGTGATATGAAAAAAAACACATGAAACATGTGTATATCTTGTTTATCTTTTGTTACTGATGGCGTTATCCAACTCCAAATCTCTAGTCAATAAAATTCCAGCAGATTCAATGCAACCAAAAATTCAGGGTCAGAGGGGGTAGGCAAAATTCCCCCAAAAAACTGAAAATTTGTTTGCATGCTTCAGGAAGCTTGGGATCTAGTGAATTTCCTAGAGAACAAGACCACTGTGCATGGCATAGTCTTTGGCGAATACTCTTCCTGTAAACCTGCCTGCCCTATTATAGAGTCTTGGAGGGGAGTCTTTAACTAAAAGTCTTTTTCCTAAGTATCCTTTCTTACCATTAGGAGTCCAGGTTCTATCTCATTCACTTTTGACTTGAAACCAATACTCAAGTCAACCAGAGAAACGAAGAAAGATAAAATTGGATAGGAGATGCTTTGTAGTGTGTTTACAAAGTGTGTTTAATGATAGTGTAGCAATTTTATTAGTACAGAAGTATAAAACTTCTGATGAACATTGCTTTGGAATTAGTGGTAAAAATGATTAGCAGAAAGAGTTTTTGATTTCTAAACAAAACTCATCTAAATATTAAGATATTTGAATAATCATATAATTCTTGTGAATTTGATATTAAATCCATATTAGTTTAGTGAAAATAAAAAAGAATATATGATAATTAGCTCAATATTAATTAATTGAAACTCACTATAAATGGTTATGTATTCTTCAGTTGACCCTAGCTAGATTTGCTCACTTCCAAAGTATAAGTAGGTTTAACTAGATCAGCCATATTAGATAATCATTAATCGCATATACAGTATATAGTAATATGTAATTTGTGTGAGATGAATGATGTAATGACTTTAACAAATCTATTAATAAATATTTTGTATCAAATACTCAGTTTAATATACAGTATATTAGAGAAAATATCAAATTAAATAAGATATAGATTTAAAACTTTATATACGGTAATTATTTTATATAAAAATAATAGACTTATCATAATAGATATAATAAAAAGAATATTTGATAGGATGATATCAAGATCTTATGTTAAACTGAAAACCTTACAAACACAAAAAGTTGAAGTAATTAAAAACACAAGAAGTTGGAATGCTATGATCACTTCAGCAACAGGTATGATAGCTACAATAAAAAATTTTGAGAGATCGGTTTGACTGTAAAGATGTGAGTATAGTACCTCCTGCTACAAAATCCAGTAATAAACAAAGACCTGCTATCCCTTAATTTTTATTGCAAATTTCTAATTTGAAGCTTTTTATTGATGAAGGAACCTAAGACTTAGATTTACATTTTGTTTAGGTGAAGCAAACTTCTCGTTTAAAACAAAGGTTCTTTCGCATGCTCAGGTGCAGGGCTGGAACGTTTTTGTGATCTTATGTCGGGTTCAGATTGATCCGTCTTGGTGGATGCAATGCCTGTTGGGTCAAAAGTTTTTCTAACCATGTTCAAATATCGATCGGTGTTTATGGAATATTTAATTGGTCTTTTGGGTTCTACGTAGGGTCTATACTACTCGTCGATATATCCCAGAGTGTGAGTTAGCCGAAGAATTCACTTTGCAACTGGTCGACGATTATCACTTCACTCACTCACAGCATGGTTCGTCAAATCGGGTACAACATATGTTCGAACTTTACGCAGGTCAATTATGAATCCTCCTTCAATTGAGAACAAATTGGTATTAATAAAAATAAAGCAATGAACATACATATATTTCCGTTGGACAAACACATTTTACCTCTGTTGGTATGTCTTCCCATGGACCCACTGCCGGTACCTATCGCATAATAGTAAGGCGAATTATTATCATAATGTAAGTACATTCATTCATCGAATACCTTTGTAATAGTTATGACCCTTCTTGGAGGTCATCGGGTATCTCTTTGCCCCTCGGTAAAGGGCCCTTTCTACTCCGAAAGGCATTATTTGAAGTGATGTTGACGGTAAATTATAGTGAAAACCTTTTTTATATTGATAATAGGGCTAAGCCACTCATGTAAGTAATCAGCAGTTTTGTGGATCACATAAAAAACCACTACTCCTGAAATTTTACCAACTCCTAAACTCACTGGTATTTTAGTTTAAACAAAGTCAGGACGCTCAACAATTTCAAAACAAACAGGTTATCCACCAGAGGTAAAAGTTATATTAGATATTGGATTTCGACGTCTTTTCCCTTGTAATAAATAAGAATCTCTAATTTTTACCTTGGCTTTAGGACCTGGTCCTTTCGCATAGGGAGTAATAATAGGTGAATAAATAGCGAGTTTTTTTTAAATTGATAGAATAGAGTAGGAGTTTAGCATTGTGATAAAGTACAATGTCTCGAGAAGCGACTTTGATAAGTATACCAAAAGAACACTTGCCTGCAATTATTCGCAGGTTTTTAGTTGAACCTGGTGACAACATTATAAAAACGCAACCACTACTTAGATATGAATATACCAAAAAAATAAAAAAGCAAAAGATCGATCCAAAGACAAAAGACGTTTTTGTAGACGAACCCTTTGTCGAAGATTTAAGGAGTCCGGCCGAAGGAGAGCTCGATGGTTTTTATGTTCGCGAGGGTGATATGATATCTTTGGAAGAGTAAGAATCGCCTATATTGAACAGAGTAATAGTCATTTCGTAAACGATTTCACCATAATTAACGTATTAATGATCGTCATTATTGTTTAATTGTCAGTAAAAAGCCAGTTGTTGGGGTGAAAGAACCGTGTTTTCATTCGGTTCAGCTTCATGGTTTATGTGCGATATGCGGTAATGATATGATGAAAACGGATTTTACTGGAGTTGATTACTCCCAGAGAGCCACTATTAGCATGGCACATAATGTTGCTGGACTGACCGTAAGTCTTAGTGAGGCTGAGAGATTGGAAAAGGAGACATCAACGAGGCTTTTGAAATCGCGAAAACTATCACTCATTGTCGATTTAGATCAAACGTTAATTCATGCAACCGTCGAACAGAAAGTGGAGGAATGGATGAGCGACGAGAGTAATGCTGCAGCCAAGGACATTCACAAGTTTGTTCTACCGGATAGTCCTACGGTATATTACATCAAGTTACGGTAAGAAGGGTTGAAATTGTTATTGTTGAGAATACTGCTCAAAGTTGATGTATTCATATGCGTTTAATATTTGTTTCAGGCCTGGACTTCAGGAATTTCTGAAAAGCATATCCGATTGTTATGAACCACATATATATACCATGGGTACGCGTAATTATGCATCTTCTGTGGCCAATGTCATTGACCCAGACAAAACGATTTTCAACGAACGCATATTATCTCGGGATGAGAGTGGAAGTAAGCATTAAATTTACTTGCATACATAGGGAAGGAGGTCTTTGAGATTTCTTTGCATTTCACATCTCTCATTTATTAACTGCTAGGCATGACGCAAAAAAATATACGTCGTCTGTTTCCTTGCAACGACTCGATGGTAGTTGTTATTGATGATAGAGCCGATGTGTGGGGTTGGTCACCTAATTTGATCAAAGTTCATCCTTGTAAGTGTCTACAGACAGAAATTATGGGACCATTTAATATCAGTGAGAATTGCATTCATCCTATTAATTAAATTATTATTCTCCGATCAAAATATAAAGATGATTTCTTTGTGGGAATCGGGGATATTAACGATATTCGTTTTACAAAGGTGAGAAAAAAAATTTTTTTTTTTTTTTTGCCGAATTATTTTTAAATGACTCGTTGTTTAACAAATCACCACGATCAGCAAAAATCAGGAGAAATTTCCCAATGTCCGGTTCTGCAAACCCCGACTGAACAGAATCCATCAGATAAAGTAGAACGAAGTGATAATCCGGTATCGTCTGATAACGGTACGTGAGATCTCGTTCATAAAATATTAGATTGAAATTCTTGAATGATGATAATAATAAATAATGTCTATTCTACGCGCACAGACGTTAAGACTGAATCGCCTTCAGAAGAAGGTGGTGAAATTGCTCCCCAAGACGAAGATCTAGTTGAATCTGAAGGCCCGGTGGTCACGGAAGAGAATAAAGTGAAAGGTGGTGAAGGTATGAATGTTAATTCGGCATTCGGTGATTAACATCACGCATTAAGCTTTGTCATCATATATAGAGAATTCGAAGGACCTGACAGTATGCGATGAAAAGTCGCCGAAAGAGCCACTCAAGATTAAAGTTGAAAACATCAATGACAATACGTTGCCCGAATCGACACTGAAACCTCCACAGAATAACAAAAGGATGCATGGAGGTTAATGATTCTTCATTTTCTTCTCTATACGAATCCGTAGTTTGATGACCTCATTCTTTTTAATTTTCCGTTTGCAGAGGATGACCGGAATCCTGAAGAAAAAGCGCTCAAGAGGCAACAATTGGAACGTAATAAGAACAAAGATGATGATAAGCTTGAGCATGCGGTCACCCCGTTTGACCAAAAACCGATCACAGAGAATATAAAACCAGTCCTCGTTGACAATGACACGGAATTGCCAAATCTTTTGAAGGTAATTCGTTTATCATCTTCATCTATTTCCTTATTCTAATAATGTGAGTTTACGAATACTCTTTATGCTTAAATAGGCTTTGAGGAATATTCATAAAAAATATTATGAAGAATATGATTCACAAGATGTCACACGGGAGGACGGAGAGAGACGAACTCCTGATTTGACTAAATTGATACCACATTTGAAAAAACAAGTATTAAAGGGTGTCAACATATTATTTACCCATGTAATCCCGACTCACCAAAAAAAAGAGAGGTAGTTGTTGATTTTTTGTCTCTTTCCTCTCATCCTTCCTTTTGGAACGTAATCAGCAAGTTTTTTTTTTTTTTCTTTAAAAAAAAAAAATCAAATCAACGCCTAGTTCCGAAATATGGATTCAGGCTATGGAATTCGGAGCGCAATGTTCGACGGGTTGGAATAACAAGGTCACTCATCTCGTGGCTGGCGATGTAAGTTTTGCGTTGTCGATATGATTCGTGTCAATGTTGATAAGCTAAAATAAATTAGATTTTCCAAATTCAATTAAATTCAATTGTAGCGAGGAACTGAAAAAGTAAAAGAAGCTAAAAGGAAGGGAAATGTATTCATAGTCAGTAAAGAATGGTTAGTGTTCTGAGGAATGCTTCCTAAACCTTACTCCCATCTCAATTAACACCGTCACTAATGTTATTAATACTATTACAAAGGTTAGATGAATCCATAAAAAAGTGGGAGCGGCAGCCCGAAAAGGCTTTCATGATCGAAGAAAGTTCGCCTTTTGAGCCCCCGGATTTGAATTCTGAAACTACCGATGTCACCGATGAAGAAGGAATTTTTCCTTTGAATTCTGAAAAATTTAAGGAAATCGATTGGATAGATGTCATGAAAGAGATAGACGACGAAATCGGTGAATCCGGTGACACAAGCGCGTTTGATGAAAGTGAGACCGAAAGTGGAACTGAAAGGTTTGAACATCTTTGACATTTCGTTTCTTGATCATATCGGGAATTTCACGGATCACACATTTATTTCGTATTTCAGTAATGGGCGTAAGAGATTGAAACGAAATAGTGAGGGGCAACCGAGGATCGGTGAACGTCCAAAGCGAACGAAGCAATCGTCGCCATTACGACAATCCATAATGCTTGATGTGGATGATGCGGATGAGGAGGCCGAGGTGGATGAAGAGGTTGATGTCGGATATCAAGAACTTGGTGCGGATGGTGGTGAACAGAACGCCGGATTCGAGCTATCATCCGAAAGTTTTTACCAACATCCTGAATCGCTGGATGAAACACAAGAGGATTATCAATATGAGAACAATGAGGATTACGATCCTGGTAATCAAAGCGATGAAGAATACGATCCCGGCGATCAGAGCGACGATGAAGATTCAGATGACGAGAAGTTTATTCATGATTTTGAAGAATTTTTAAAAGAAGATGGGAATGGGGTGGAAGGTGACGTATTTATTAGTCATGAAAAGGGTGATTGACATTTCAAATGAGAGACTAAATTCTGTACATATGCATCGAATATTCACTGCAAGTCGATGGTTCAGGTCGAACTTTGTGTACATTTTAGCCTTTGTATTGCATCTCCAGTGTTTTTATAATCACTCCATTTTTTTTTTTTTTTTTGTAAATATATTCTTTTTATTCTTAATAAACTTGTAATTGATGTGACCTAAAGATGGTTCACAATGTGCATGCGGTAGACGCATTCCCAAAATTAGTTGAAATTAGGAATATCCTAATCATATTAACCGTCGCAATGTGATCTATGTATGTATCTATCTATTCCTATCACGGTCCCGTTCTTTTCCCTCACCTCCTGAATCGGCGTGTCTAGCATCATGACGCCGTGGTGAATAATGATCTTTACGATGTGGAGAACGAGAACGCGATCGTAATGCGGAATTATGTTTCACTTTTTTTTTAGTCCTATCATGACGTTCATCTCTACGCCTTTTGCGACTCCTATCGGATAGATCACTCGGTTCGTCATCCTGATTGCCCGCATGCTTATCTTTGCGGTGTTTGTCTTTTTTGTGTTTTTTTTTCTTTTCTTTTTTTCGATTTTTTTGACCGCACCCGATCTTCAAACTGGTCAATGGACGCCACCGCTGAAACAGTTTTAGAATGTGCACTTTCATGAGGCAACGTTGATAACGAGTCATCATTATCATCATTCTTCTTCGTTAAGTGTTTTTCGTTTATAGTTTCGACCTCCGCCAACATAATCTCTCCCGCAGAAACTCGACCTGAACTTAACATGACGATTAAGGTGATGATATTATTAACACAGTCTTTAAATCGGAATACGACACGCCGTTAAAAATACCTTTTGTAACCTAATCCCTTTGTGGCATCTTTGGTGACCTCCTTGAGAATCTCATTATCTTCCTCGTCATTGTCTTGTTCTCTCTTCAGTACATTACTAAGTTCCTGATGAGTGACATTTCCTGTAACCACTTTTTTTTTACTGGCGCCTCTAATCATCAAACACATTTACGGTTAGTATCAAAATTCGAACGTTCGGAGGTATGTAATTGGTATGAATCATTGTTTTTACAAGAATTCAGCCATGACGTCTGCCTCGGCTTCTTTAACTGCTTTGATTTCATCGAGGCGGGCCTGATTTTGCTTTCCTTCTTTCGAATACCAAGTAAGATCTTTACCTGCGTTCAAAAAAAAAAATAATAATAATGTCAAACACCTTGCATTTTCGGTGACTGACTTAACAAACATTTTCTGTCAATACTGTAACTTTTTTTCCTTACCCTGCTGCCACCTGATGTGTCATCGATCAAATGTGAATTAGTCAGGAGGGAAAAATAAACGTGTGACGATTCGAACAAATTCGTTATTCACCTGCCTACCGGTGCAAAAAGTGAGTGACCGAGGTAATTTTCCCTATGCTTGTCTGTTTTCACGTCCCTATTAAAATTCTTTTAGAAGTGGGTTGCCATATATGACAAATACCTATTATCCTATTCGCAACTTACTCCCCTAGAATGCGAGAATTAAATTATATTAAAGACAAAAATAAATATGAAACTAAAAAAAATAAAGTTCAGATACTCACAATTAAACTGATCCTGAAATATTTGGGTTATGCAATATTCTCTCAGTTTCTTGCAAATAATAGTCAGAGAACCCTGATTTATGAAAAAAATAAATGCCTACCCTTCCGCCTCTGACACCGCCTCTTGGTGGATGATACATTGAAATTTTTTCAAAATGGAAATTTTCGATAAACATCATATTTTCTTTATATCGAACTTTGTCACGTGACAATAAAGATGATCTGGCATGATTTATTTCATTACAATTTGTCACCTCAAGACGCGACCGACACTCTAAACGAGATTATCGGTTTGTGCATTACAATCGATTCATTTATTTAAAAAAAAAAAACAAAAAATAAAAAATGCTGTACATGAAAGAAAAAATATTTGATCCCCAACGCTAAGGTAGGAACACATCGAGCAATGAAACTATCTCTTCATCTTATTGCGACTACAATGATTATGGATTCCACCATGCCGTGGTAACCAATTCTCTTTCTTTACTCGGTTCTGGATTAGGAGCAGACGCAAAAACTTCCTTTGTCTCGCTACTTCGCCCGCGGAGTTCTTCTTTGCTACCCCGAGGGTATCGTTCTCCGGGAATTTTATTAAATGAATCTTTCCTTTCATCCTGTGGAGGCCAAGATTTATTTTCGCTTTTCTGGTTGGAGGTCGGACCCCACGTAGCCATCACTTCGTTTCTCTTTCGTTCCCACTCATCCGAGGTATCTTCTTGTATGACCGGTTTTTGATCCCATGATTCCTTCTTTAAAGTTGGTCCATCATCGTTGCGGTTAGCATTACTGATTGATCGATCTCGAGCTTCCCATCTCCGAGTAATGGGTTCCCGACTTCTATCCTGTTTATTCCCGAAAGAATAGTCATCTCTTTTGCGGTCAAAATCTCGATCATGATCTTCACGTTTATCACGGTTTGGATAGGCCCGATCGCCATCCCTGTTACCCCTCGAGGAAAAGTCGTAATCCCTATTGGCAAAGTTCCTTCCAAAATTACGACCTTGATCTCGATCTTCCCTAAGGTTGAAGTCTGCATCCCTGTTAATTCCTCTTTGATTAGAATCTCTGGGTTGGTAACCTTCATTAAAACCGCCTCTATTACGATTAAAATCTTTATCATCATTATAATTGGACCCCCGACTAGCATTGTATCTGTTCTTATTAAAGTTATCGTTCTGATATCTATCGTTAGCAGAAGAATAATCATCGGTGTTGTCTCTTCCCCTCGCCCGCTTGCCCCCATCTCTACCATCATTGTTGTATTCCCATTTAGACGAATACTTCCTATCATCTTCATATGTTCCATTGGCATATGGATTACTATCGCTGAACTTATCATGTCGTCCGTGTTCTCTACGAGGATTTCTGCAATCCTTAGACATATGCCCTTCTTCACCGCAATTATAACACTTTACTCCTCCTTTACCACGGATATCCTTGTCACCATAACCGCCGCGACCATTATAACCACCGTAGGATTTTTCGCCTCGTTCACCATTTCCATCGCGCCTATCACAATACTTGGTATTATGATCAGTTGATTGACAATGTTGACATGCCATATATGCTGAGCGTTCAATTTCTTTCTTCGGCATAGTACATTCTTTAGTAATGTGTCCTTTTACCTTACAGTTAAAGCAAATGGGAGAGGGATCATCCCTCAAGAAACCAGCATCAGCTAGCCATCGGAAATTTTCTTCCTCGGAACTGGCAATGGTGCCTGAAGCTGGAGCAGGACGAAATGTGGTTGAACACACGGGTTGTGCAACGAATTCCTTCCCCGTATTTCCTTGAAGATCGATCAAACAACTAGTGAGAGGAATTCCCTCACGTTTTAGCGCAATGATTTTCCCGTTGCAATTGTGACTCCTTAGTCTCCTTTCGATCGTTTGGAAAGTATCTTCGGGTGAAGCTTTGGCGAATTCCTCAAGCCATTTATTGAAATCATCTATGTCATTCTCTCGATCGGCCTTCATTAGTCTACTCCATGCTTCTTCCCGTGATATCCCCGAGGGTTCCGGGTTAACAACTATGTATAATTGTGAGGTTAATTGCGTTTCTAAAAAATATCAAGAAAAGGCATCAATCACTATGAACTCACATGGACTAAGTTTCCGACAGCTAGCCGCCTTATGTTCATAAGACCCACATCTAGAACATGGTCCACTTTTTTCAGGACACTCGATTGCCCGATGACCAGGTTTATGGCAGTTGAAACTAAATAATGCGTTGTTGAGATCAAAAGTTAATATGAAAATATATATGCGTAAGTAGCTTCTAAAATGTACCAGTTGTAACGACTTGAATCTTCGGGGCAGTCTCGCGAAAGGTGTCCAGGCTTACGACAATTATAGCAAGATTTTTCAGTGCCTCGTGCATCACGCGAGCCGCCTCTATCCCTATCCCTATGACCGTTATCGTAATAGTCATCTCTTTGTTCAACGCGACTATTAAAACTATTCTTGTCTTGTTTATTCCAACTATTGTCAGATGATAAATTTTTATTCCATGAGCGGGTCTCATTTTCTATGGTATCATCATTATTATTCATATTTGAACCAGGCAAGTTGTCTTCATAAGAAGCCGTCACCCATGGCTCATCCGACCTCGGTTTTTCCCATGGTTCACTCTCCTTTTTCAAAGGTTTTTCATTTTCTTCAGTGACCTGCCGTCCACTTATCTGTTCCTTAAACAAGGCCGCTTTTTCGAGCCAATTATTATTACTCGCAGAAGTGCCTTTATTCGAATCCCACGTATCTGTGTTTGGAAGGGGCGTGTAACTATCAAGTTTTTCGTTAGGCTTTTTAACAGTTACTTCTTGGGGATCAATATTCCTTTGAGTTCCAATCCATGGCTGTGCGACCCTTGAGGAATCGGAATTGTCACGTGGTTTGTATGAATCGCGAGAAGCAGTACGTGGATCTTTCCCAGGAGCATAAACACGAGACTCATCATCCCGACGCGGATCGTTGCCTTGCCGACTTACATTTTCAAGGGCGTTTTCATGTTTTCGATCTCGTGAGACGTGATTAGGAGAATGATCGCGAGAATCTGAGGATTTTATTCTCGAAGTATTAGTATCCCAAAATTCAGATTTCTTTTGACCATCCGACCGATTCCGCCAAGGTTCATCAGGACTTGGTGGATGAGAAAAATCACGAGGCCTTGATGATTTACTAGGAGATGGGCTTCGAATGTCAGACTTTCTTGGTTTGTCTTCGGAAGTTTCCCACGGTTCTAGACTCTTTACTGAAGTTGGTCGTGATGGATCCTTAATTTTCGGAATGTTTGAAGAATCCCATGGTTTACTTTCCTTTGATGTACTGGTCACGGAAGAATCACGAGCAGAAACGAAATCTACAAAAATAATCAATCAAAATGACCTTAGTTGATATTTTGGATTCACGGTCAGCAAGAACCTAGCCTAACCCCTACCGTTTATAGGTTGTCGTGAACGAAATTCCTTCTTTTGATAATTATAATCATCATTTAACTTATCAGATACCTCATGGCCATCATCATTCCACGAACTAGCTGGGCGACGTAAATCGTTAGCTACAGTGGGGGGCTGCGCTGCTGATCGAGAAACAGATGAAGATCTCCACTGTCCGTCAAAGTCCTTTCGCACGTTAACCTTGATCTTCTCATGGTCGTTCAACTCGTTAGCTTCAATATCCATCAGCGGGCGCCCTGAAGTATTCCCTCCAACGTTCACATAGATTCCCAGCGAGAACAGCTTTTTACGTAAAACATCACCAACATCAGGATTTGTCGAGCAAACCATCTGCACAATAGGTTCCAAGTCGATTGGTTCGGTCTGAACTGCCTTGTCTTTATATTCCTTTTCGTTCCTCCTCATTCCCGGAGTTGCGGGCTCTAATGAATCGCATAATATATATATATATATATTTATTTATTTAATAAATCCAAACGTAAAAAATCAAATTATCATTTATTTAATACGGTAAGGTAATAAAATTTCGAATACCACTCAATTTGTCACCCAAACATCGAAATATTAATTACCTGTTAACTTCTTTGTCTCTCCTATCCACCTTTCACTTTCGGGATCATTTGCAAATTGTTTTCCGGTTTGACGTGCTGAGAAAGAATTGTGTATCACTTCCTGTAAGGCAAGACTCTAAGAGAAAAAAAAGGGGGGTTTTTTTTTTTAAACTCAAATATTCGAAATTTCAAGTTGCCAAAACGAACACTTTAGTACCTCATCATCGAGTTCATCCCGAGCAGCGTGTGAAGGTCTTGAAGGCGAATCGATAACATTTGTAAACTTATCATGACTAGCCTCGCGAGGTTTTCTGGATCTTGAATCATTCTCGTAGCTATAGTGAGGTCCTCGAAAATTCCTTTGATCTTTTCTGCGATCGTAATCAGTAGTCGGAGTAGGTGATCGACCCAAATTCCGGCTATCATAATCAAACCCCTTCTGAGAAGAAACGTGGGTATCATATAATTCGGTTTTATTATCATTATTGGATGTCTGATGTGATTTTCGCCTTGAATTAAAGTCATCATCCCTTTTCTCTAAGCGCTGATTTTGTGAATTCCAACCGTCATCATTAAATGACCTTTTTTTCAAGTCGTTATTATTATCGTTCCAATCCCCACTGTTAGATAATAGCTTTTTCCTGTCGTTATTTGCATCTTGATATTTCATTTGTTCCCTGTTATATTGCGTCGGTGCTGCTTCATTATTCCACAGGTCTTCGGCCCCATTGCTGGCCGGCGGCAGACCCAATCCTAAACCCCTTATATTTTTCCGCCCATAATCGTCTGCCGTACTGTCATTATTCGTCGGTTTTGCCATAGGCCACGAGTTTTCAACTTTTTGTGGTGGATTTCCCCATTCATCAGCCATTCTGTTTATTAATGTTCTATTTCGATAGACAAAGGAGAATATTTGTGGCAGAAACAAGTTCATTTTCCATGAGATAAAGTTTATTAAATCAGTTTCTTTATATTTTAATTATAGAACAAATATGGAAGAGGTTATGAAATAAATAATACGAAATAAAAAAAAAAAAAAATTTTTTCGAAAATATCCGAACAACCGTCGGAACTAGAAAAAAAAATTTTTCAACGTGACACCCACACAAACGAGCGTTGCTTTACTAAAATCAGGGTTCAGCTTCGAAGCAACTATTCGCTTTTTGTTATAACAGCTAAACAACTTACCGGTATGTAATTCTCTACAATTTGAAGAGTTCGTGAAGCCTACCACAAGTTTGGTTTGTTTGTATGGATTTATTTGAAAAGACTATGGTTGTTAAAATTTTTTTGAATTGGGTTTGTAATTAGAAACAGCAATTGAAAACGAGTTGGTGGGAGAACGGAAAAACTCGAGATTTACACTATTTATAAGGGATGAGATGAGCCTCAAAGAGTTATATGTCACACTACCATAAAAAATTATGCCCTTCCCAATTACTATTATTATACTTTTTTATAATTTAATAAATCATTATTAATTGTTACGATCGATGAGATAATCAATAAGTAATTTATGCATATGCATATCGTTTCAAAAGTTTCAAATTAATAGAATCAATTACCACGCCTGAAGAAATAATCTCCGGTTATTAAATGGTTAAAATTAATAATTTTTATATACTGTATACTGTATATTGAAATTTTTAAAATATTTTTTTTATATATAATTAAAACATTAATACAGTATATTCTTTTATTAATTATATTAATGACTATTTTTTTTGAATTTAATATAGTTGCTTTCAAAAGTTTGAGTTTACTTATTATATTTTTATTATAATTTTTAACTTTATCTATTTTTAAATTCTTAAATTTATATATATTATACTTGAATATTAGATTTATTTCTTTTATTTTTTTTCAAAAATTTTTATATATAATTTTTAAAGTTTTATTATTGTTAAAAATTTTTTTTCTTTCTTAAATTTTTACCTTTGAATAATTTTAATTGATTGTTATTATAAATTATATAATAATTAATAAAAAAAATAAAAATATTTAATAGTAATAAAATTTTTTCACTGATTCTTGAATTATATACAAAAAAGATACTTATAAAAAGTTTTTATATTTCTTTGCTAAAAAACTCTTTATACTTTTCTTAAAAAACTTCAAGAGTTATATCTATCCTTTCTCTCTTGTTTATAAATCTTTTCACTCAAAAACTTAACTTCTAATAATCAAAAAAAGTCAAGTATATCTTTTATACCAATGATAAGAAAGTTTTCAAAAAAAAGAAGAACTGATTATAAAGTATTTAAAAATCTATCTAATCTTTAAAATGATATATTTATAAAAATTTTCTATAATAGAAAGATTTATATTCTTTCTTTTTAACTGTTTTGATCCTCTTAAAGCTTTTATTTTTATAGTTTTTTAAAGAATTTTGTCTATATCAATTTAATTCTAAATTTTGAATAATATAAATCCTTATTAAAGATAATTGACTAATATAAAATACATTAGTTTTTTTTAGTATATAAACAATCTCCTATTAATCATATTCATGTATTCCAATAATATTATTAGTAATTGGAAAAAATATTTCAAAAATATTTGTTCCTAAAAATCTAAGTTTCTTAATAAAATTTTTCATAATATCAAAAGATTAAGTGATAAGTAATATAAATTGTAAACTCTTATTTCTTATTTAAATTTTTTAAATAATAACAAAGCTTTAATAAAAAAAAACTGGAGTTTAAATACTTTTCTTAAGATATATTAATTTGATACTCATTTAAATAAAAGATTAGTTGAATTAATTCATCAAATACTACAGATAATGAAAAAGATGTTTTTTTTCAAGATTCAAGCAAGAAGGCTATTTCAATTGAACAAAATTTTTTTGAGAAAAGATTGTTTTTATTTTTAAAATTTTTTTATAAACCTTAAATTGTCTTTTTCTTTTAGTCACCTTTTCTTTTTTCTTTTAGTCACCTTTTCCTTTTTCTTTTTTTTAACTTAGTAATTCATTGATTTTTAAATTAATAAATAATAATAAACTATTAATAATAATTCTCGTAGATAAAAGTCATAACTAATCTATAAGAGAAATATAATATTGTTTTCAAAATCTAATTTAAAGTACTATGTATAAAGACAAGTTAGTTATATTGTAAAAGTCTATAAATTATTATAAATTTTATTTTAATTTCTTAATAAAGATAAATTATTATAATATAATTACAAATTAAAAAAAAAATTTTTTTTTTGAAATTATTTATAAAAAATTTTTTAAAAAATATGAGAAATAGAACAAATATATATATAATATATATAAACTTTATAATTTTTATTTGTATAATTAAAGATTTAAAAAAAAAAAAACTCTTTTTGCTGATCCTCTGACCACACACAAAAAAGATGTTTGCAAGAAGTTTTTATACTTCCTTGCTAATAAAGTCTTAATAC